CTAATATATTACTAATGTATTAATAATTTTTTACCATAATTTCCAATGTTTTGTACAATGTGTTCATTATTACATGTTTTACATCCATGTTCTTCATATATTAAACACATACGACATTTACTATGACCGCAACTGTCTTTTATAAGTCTTGAACATGATGTATTCGTTATTTGCTTACAACTTGGGCACTCTTCATTCATTCTAATGTTACAATTCTTTATTGACACTCTTACATTTGTCGATTAATTTATATCTTCTTATCTAAAAGTCATGCTTCTCATTCTTCTTGCAAAGTATTTTACTTTATGCCAATTTAATTTACGCAATTACACATACCAGTTTCATTGTCATTTTCATTTCACAGAAACACCAATTTCTGTTATCAATGTTGATCGCATGCAAATTTGTATAATTCACCTAAATAACGATTTATTTTAATACGCGATTTTACATTCATGTAACTGTATGAAAATACTGTCATTGCTTACAAAATTATTCATATCCAAACAATTGGCATTACAATTTCGATGTGATTGTTACTTCATATAATGTGACTCAAACTAGATCAATTGTTCTTTCCAATTATATGAATTTAATCTACTTTTTAGTATCTATATACGTATATGTAGGTATTTATAAAAACTTATTCGTATGTTTATAATTTCTTTTATTTCATTTCATTCATTTTATAGATCTTATTTAAATGAGAAAGATACATTCCATTCCATTTACGAATAGTCTATGAAGAAATATTTTTGTTTCACACGTACATACATCATTATGAATAATGCAGATAATCATCCCACTTCAACTAGAGTATCATCAGCGATCTTGATGGATTTCTTTTGTACTATTGTATTTGAAGGTTTATAATATATTTCAAAATATATAGACCAACCGCAGAATGCACGACGAATCGTTTGTTTTAAATCTATCGGTTCGTCAACTAAATGCTTAAGAATAAATATTATGCATTCACTGATTATTAATTCTGGTCTTTATATAGTAACACATATTTAATAGTTTATCACACACAAACGAAACATGCTATACATGTACAATGGAAACCATCTGTGGCGCCATCTACCGTAAAATGTTCAAAACTTAAATTTACATTACCGACCTGAATACACATTTAATTATTCTTATCCCGTGTTCGTGGTCTGCGCTACTAGCTTGAGCATTCTATTGTAGATGGCGTCATAAGTAGTTCTGACTACACTTATCAGCAAATACAAAAAATTAATCTCTTTTTAATTAACGTAACGATTAACAATCGTAATATTAAATTAGAGAAATCCAACGAATTGGGTACTATTAAAAAACAATTATTCAATTATTTTATATACAGTTTACCTATATCTTTCTATGTAAGTAAACACACATCGTTGATAAAAGAATACGTAAACTAAAATTCCTTTGCAAATAACAAAAATCTTGTAAATAAACTGCACTCCGCATGACTCATGAGAAATCAGTAACATTAAAATTCGCAAAATGTGGGTGCCTTTGTCAACCTTACAATAAGGAAGAAAAATGTTTACTAATTAATGAGATTAAATTATTCGTTAACCTGTCCATCGTTTAAACACGTAACTCTATCGATTCCCGATTTCAATTCTACCGTTAGATTGTTAAGTTCACTTCGCGCAGCAATATTGTAGGTATAGTCGCATTATGGTCAAAACGGTCAGAGGTAAATATCGCCGATCGATGCACCATGTACAATATATCAATTCGACATGAAGTTCGAACATGAAACACAATGACAGGAATGCAGCAGGCATGAGATAATCCAAGTTGTTACAATAGTAAGAGCAGTTTATTAAGCATTGCGTACGAATTCTGATGTAAGGACGCCACGTGACTTACCACGTGGACGTTTCCGAATGGACACTTTTCCTCTGCTTTTTCGATCAGCCGTGCAATTAAGCGCCCGCGAATCGTACCTTCCGAACAATTAACGGTCGAATTTCGATTTGTTGAAAAATAAGGAAAAACGCAACATTCACGAGAAAGGAAATCTATGTAACAATACAGGAAACCATTAATCGTTCGAAATCGTTCGAAATTCGAAATCGTTTTTCAAAGGATTTATCAAAATTCGTTGAACAATCTTTTCCACCGATTTCCATTTACAGCACCAGAGACGTGGCGTTTGAATTTAATCGCGATCGCAGTTTTTGCCCCCGCGATTCTGTAAAAATCGACGGTTTTCCGGCGAATAATTGGCGAATAATGATCGCGGTGGTTTTAATTGCGCGCCGGTTGTCCGATTGTTTCGTTGTAAATCGGAATACTGTGCTCCAGTTGGTCGTAATAATGGTGGACAGTTTCGTTTATCGGCCGTAAAAACGAGGATACGTGCGCCGTTACTTTTATGGTGGACTGTACAGTCATACCACACGGCATGCCAACTGCAATGGAAATTTCCACTGAAGCAGTCGGTTGCCACCGTCTTGTAGACGCTTCGTAGCCGCGCCTAAAAACCAGATTGCGTCCACCGGCAGGCTAAATCGAAGGCCGTTCTTACCCTTTTTTTCGCCGATCGGGCTTTCGGCGCGATCGGCGTTTTCCGGGTCACCCGGTAGCTTAATTAATATATTCCTTTTGACACGAGACGTCGTCGTAATCCACGCAATCGCGCGTAAGAGATGCGCTCCTGAATTAATTTATAGGTGCCGAGTGCGCCCGCTCTTTTTCAAAATCCATCTTTCGCGATTGCCCAATCGGCCGCTCGTCGAACGTTGATTTTTCGAACTTCGCGAACGGAGAGGCGTCCGTTGCTCGGTGAAAGTGATGCCGATCAAAATGTAAACTCGATGGTGTTCGAATCGGCGAAACTCTGACAGTTCTATGAATTCCGTTGCGAAATACGCGATGTGTCCTCGAGCTAGGACAATAGACGCTGGAAAGAGACGTGGAGATTTTGGTCTCATCGCGGCCGAGTTCCGCTCGTTTTCCATTAAACGATAACCGCTTCGAGTGAAACTGTAATTTTCCGCTGTGGATACGTCTGTCCTCTTCTATTCGTAAAAAACGCTCGAGAGACATCAAGGAAACTTGCACGATAACGCTCTAGACGACTCGATTTAGAACCGTGTCAATTTTCGCGGAATGATTTCTGCTGTCGATTTTTATGGATGCTTCTCGGGGAAAATAATATTCATTAACAATAGATTTATGGATATTTATTCTATACTTTATTCTATTGTTCCTAGAGAACTAAGTATTTGTTCATATAAATCGCGAGAATTGTAGCTTCGAAACTAGAGTATTGCAATGCGTATTCGCATAATTGCGAATCATGATCGACTTGAACTATTAAATAATGTTTAAAAAATTCAATATCCGTCAAATTGACGGATAAACCTAGTGTTAAATTTAACCCTTAGCACTGCAAATAGTTTTTTAATTGATCAGCAACTGCAACTAATTTTTATGGTATCTCCAGTGAAAATGAAAAATGCTGTAACATTCCTTCGATCTTTTATTTTCCTTCTCAGTACAAAATTTGGATGTGTGGAAAATCTAACAATTTTAGGGTAGTCTCTTTCATTTGTTAAAATGTTTGATATTATAACTGGTGCAATATTGGAGCCTACAGAGTTCAAAGGGTTAATATTGAAGAAGAATATAGTTTTCAACGCAATTTGAATTTTCAACGAATTATTCGGAAAGATCGTACCGTTGGAAAATCCATTTTCGTTTCCATCTGGAAATGCGTGTCGCCTGAAATCACGGTTAAGAGCACAGCGTGATTGATAAATTGCCGCTGGCCGCTGTGCCCGACATACAAGCGAGCGATCGAAATAATCGACGTTTATCAAACGAAACGAAACGAAACGAAACGATCTCGGAAGTCGCTGAAACGCTAAAAGCAGCCACGCTGCAGGATCAAACGAGCGACCTTCGTTCCAGTTGAACGTCTAGTATTCAGTGTGACCCGCGTTTCCTGTTGCCCTTTTATCCAACGCGTTAGACAACATTTTCGTACAGCCAAACTAGACATTACCAATGTACACTGTTTCCGTTTGTGCAGCTCTGCTATTACTACCGTGACTATCCTGTTAAAACGACCGATCACTTACTTACTTCTCGCATCAACGAAAAACGGAAAGTAACAATTCATTTTTTAGCTACTTTTACTACTGCAGCTATTATTCTAACGTTCCATTCACCGATTTGCAAGTAACGCATCAAGCTTTCTTCAAAATACTTTCGTTACACGCTCAGGTTGTTAACGTTAGCACTCTTAGAAACCATTCTTTGACTTTCCATTCAGCTCCGTCCTATTTTCGCACCGTCAAGCTAATAACGCCCGCGTCACACTCGCGATTACCATTTTATTCGAAGCATCCGAGACCTTTGGTTCC